CTATAGACTCTAGATCTAGATCTAATCTAGATTCTAGATCTAGATCTATGTCTTTTACACTTTTGGTTTGGTGCACCTGCTAATTTTATTTTTATAAATAGATCTCTAGATCTAGAATCTAGATCTAGATCTAGATTCCAGCAGTGCAGAGCGGAGGGCAGAGGCAGAAAAGTGTGGTGAGTTGTAGAGTTGTATTTTAATTTAGATCTCTAGATCTAGATCTAGATCTAGAGTCTAATAATCCCCCCTGTACTGTAGATCTATAGTCTATAGCATAGCAGCTCACTCTATCTAATCAGTCTAATCTGCAGACACTGAGGCTGAGGTGTGTACTTTCCCATTCTGCCGCTTGCCTCACTCGATTTCACTGTGTCTAGACTCCAGATCTAGATATCTAGATCTAGAATCTAGATCTAGATCTAGAATAGATATCTAGATGTAGATCTATATCTAGATTCTAGAATTATTAGTCTGTTTGATTTAGGCTACGGTACTTAAAACTTGAAATCACCAATTTACTTCGCACTGGCTATTTTTACGGTGTGCCGTAAAGATAGCCTCCCGGTGAGTCCCAGGCTATTTTTACGGCGATCCTCGAAAAGCGACCCTACTCCGCCTCTCATGTACGCGACATGCCTCAATGTATTTAAAGATCTAGATCTAGGCCTATAGGGACCGTTCAAAATATAAACTTACACCTCAGAGGGGAAATGGTGTCTTTGGCTTCTCTGTAAGAAAAGTGTAAGATTGGGTGGGGAGGTTAACCACACTTCTGTGAGATGAACGTTTTGCTCATGACTGGGAAGAAAAGGTAAAAGAAAAAGTGGATAAATGCCAGTAACAAGACCCAGATCTGCATGATCACTGCAGATCCCCGTTGCTGTTGTTTTAAAAAAAAAATTTTTTTAGTGGGGGGTTACAAATAATTTTGAAATTATGATGAAAATTCTGTAGGTGGATATCTAATTTCTTAATGTTTCTGTTTCTTTGTAACTTTGCAACTGTTTTGTTAATCTTTTAATGTCTTGATGTCTTTTATTTGCAAGGCACGTACCTATTGCATTGACAAGAGTCTCAGTGTCTTCCACATATATGTTCTTTCTAGTTCATATGGTTTGATTAAATTGTATTAACTGAAATGATATTTTTTTTAGCTGGTTAAAAAAGCCATGTATAAGACAGGCCGGTATCTTAAAAATAATAATGGAAGTTGAAGATCCGAAAAAGTACTAATATTAAATTGGTGTTGGTGGGGTTTGGAGGCAAATGTGAGAAAAGTGGTATTTGGGTTTTGTGTTTAAAAAAAGTCCCCAAAAGTGTAAGATTATATTTGAACTGCGTTTTTCATTTCCTCCTCTTCACCATCATTCTATTCTCTTCTTCATCTTCCTTCTCCCTTCCTCCACTACCACCTCTTCCTTCTTCTCCCCACAATAATCATTCACCCTCTCTTTATCATCACCACCTCCTCGTCATTATTATTACCATCATCACTGCCACTGCCAGCATCATAATCTCATTCACCGACATCACTACATGTACCACACCCACAAGACACAAGATGAGTGGCCATTTTGGAGTTAACACTTTTCGCCTTGGGAATGCCTTTAAAATGTTCCTCCTTCCTTTGCACTGAGCAGATTTTTGATAGAGGTGTAAAATATTTTTATTTTTGTTCTCAATGATTAATTTATTAATTATTGTGATGCAATTTCAGGGTACAGGAACACATATAATATATATATAATATTTTTTTTTACATTCAAATATCAAAATTCTGCTCAGTACGATTGACCATAGTATCTGTATCTACCATTCCACCAATTTTCATGCAATTTTGTTAGAGAGTAAGAAGCCTTCGTTTTTTAAACATTATTGTGTTTTGCATGTTGGTGCTGTTTCCATTCCATGGCAACTTTCATATTTTCGGACTTATGAAAATTTACTTTCTTCATTATTTCTTATGCCCATATAATGCCGTATAATTTTTTTTCCTAAATAATAAATATGAATCGGAAAAAGAATCACCCTTGGAGTGAGCTGTTCCCCGTAAAAATGGACAGTAATAATATGAGCACATCAGAAAACAAAACACAAAAACTTAAAAAATGCGATCTATTTTATTATAATTGAAAGAATCCCACAACAACAAGGTCCAAGCAGAGGTCGAAGTAAAGAACATAAAAACATTGAATTGTTTAAGTCTAGAATAAAGACTATAATTATGATAATACTAATATAAGAGGACATTTAATTATAGTGCCTTACTCTCGGTTTTAACCAGCTCAAAGTATGTTACATTAGTTTAGTCATTTAGTAAAAGGTAGTACATGTATAAAATAACAAATAAGGTAGGAGCCTATACTAGGCCTACAAGCCAAGACGGAATTTATAAGACTGAAAAACGTGTTCTACGTCCACTGCGTTACTTAAATTTTATTTGCAACGCCGCGTTCTGAATAGCTCCCGTGCTATTTGAAACGCCAGTACTAGATCTAGAATCTAGATCTAGATTGATTTAGATGTAGTAGAATCTAGTAGTAGCCATTGTTTCTACATATATTGTAGTTCTGCCTGAATTGTGGAAGCTTTCTCAGTTTTTTGATAAACCTCCAAGGATTTGACTCCTTTTTTTATAACGTTGTCTTATTCCGATCAATATTGGGTAAATCTAGATCTAGAAAAATCTAGATCTAGAATCTAGATCTAGATTAGATCTAAGAATTGTTTCTGACATTGTTTGCTTAAAAGTAGACGTCTTGTTCATCTCTCATAATCATAATCATCTGATTTCTGAGTTAGAGTTTGAGCAAGTTTAAGTCGAAAGACCCTTGGATAACAATTCAAGGCGCTGCAACTCGAACTTTAAGTTGGGCCTAGAGAACGTTATACAAGCTGTCTACTGGCTACGTTCTCTAAGTCTAATGTTCAGTGCTTCCAAGCGTGGCATCGAATCCCGGTCCGGAAAGGTTGGTTTTTTTTCTACAAAAGGGAGTGTATACACAGACCCGGTATCGGGAAAAAAGTCACAAAGTATACAGACCCGGTAGGGGAACTCTTTTGTGATTTCGGAGAGTTTCAGCGCCCTCTTGGCTCAGGGTAGACCTAGGTTCTTCTAGATCTATGGTCTAGATCTAGGCAGACAGACATAAATCTTTGATCTAGTTTCGCGGCTAACCTAGATCTAAATGAAGATTGCGGATGTCCTTTCGATAAACGATCGTTTTTCCTCCGTTTTGGAGTTGGAGGAATCACAATTTGAAGAAAAGAACAAGTTACAATGTCATAATTTCAATCAAGCAGTCCCCCCCCCCCCCCCCCCCTCTCTCTCTCTCTCTCTCTCTCTCTCTCTCTCTGTCTGTCTCTCTCTCTCTCTCTCTCTCTCTCTCTCTCTCTCTCTCTCTCTCTCTCCTCTGTGTATCGCTCGCCTTCTCTTTCTCTTTGTTTGTCTCTGTCTTTCTTTGTCCCCACCTATTTCCCACTCTATCTTTCTCTCGTTCCCTCCTGCCAACTGGTGCATGTCATACATTTTGCTAGCACTCCTAGAGGTGGATAAAAAATCAATGTGCTGAAACTCAAAAGTACAAAATGTTAAACTGACTCTAAGGTGGCTCTAAGACTTATAAATAGTATATATCAGGAGCTAAGAGAATATAAAAGACAGATTTCAAGGACGGTAATTTTAAAATGGTAGTACAGTCAAACCTGCCCTGACGGCCACCTCTATAAGACGGCCACCTGTAAAAACGGCCACTTTCCATTTCCCCCCTTGAGTTTTTTCTATATAATTTAACTGTGTAAAACGGGCACCTGTCCAACGCGGCCACGGCCACCATATTTTAACACAACCCCTATCACACGAAGCAATAACACCTGTCTTAGACGGCCACCTTAGTGACTCCATAACGTTTTGTCATAAATTGTGCATTGGCCCCTGGCGTTGTGGGCGAGCCATCATAATCCAATCACCTGTCGTTGTTGTTAGGTAGTCCTTCCAACCGATCATATTGCGTACGCCCCTCCCACTGTTGACCAATAGGTACCAATATTCAGCTGCTGGTGAGGTAAGCATGTGATCCCTCATAACCCATATGCCCCGCCCATGAACTCATACACAAATCGTATGTGAGATCAGTGGTCACTGTTTTCCCAGTCTGTAACAAAGTAACAATGGACGTCAACATGAACTTGCAACAGAAGCGTCACTCGTTCTCCGAGTGGTGGCGACCCATTTGTTTGTTTTAACATGGCACTCGGTCTTCCTCGTCTGATACATTTCGTTATATTGTCACTCTTGCGCAAAATCAGCAACAAAATAAAAATAACTAACAAAATACAAACCAACAACAACAAAAACAAGAACAATGCGGCTACTTTCGATTGGGACTTTAGATGGGAATGGTTTGTTTTCTTCATCTTGATCAGTCCTGCCTAAGACGGCCACCTGTCTTATACGGCCACTTTTCTCCTTGACGATGGGTGGCCGTCTTACACAGGTTTGACTGTAATTTCAAAACTTTACTTTTCCTTGTATATTTTTATACTTTAAAAAAATATATAGTATAGTATTTTCCTTATGTACATCACCAAGCATACCCTGCTGCCTCCTCAAATAGAGTAGAGCAATTTTGAGTTGTGATGGGTATCAATTTGTTATCTTTCCATGTAGTAAAGTCTTGACTTAACATTCAAATTCAAATATTCGTTTGTACATTTTATTGAATTATGATTTAGACAATATTTCTGACAAGTATAATTGCAACACTAATTTGTAGCATGCTAGCAGTAGATGTGATCCATTTCACTTTCAGGTGGTGACTCGACTTAATGACAATGGAGCACCTCGTTGGCATGTTTGGGCCAGATGAGCAGGATGATCAAAGCGAAGAAATGGATGAACTCCCTTCGGCTCTGCCTCCTGAGGTACAAGATATGTTGGCCAGGACTCTTTCTCTGTGTATTAAAAGCATTGAGCTAGACTGTCTATTTTTATGTGCACTTTCTGGAAATGATCTCATTAAAGGGCAATTCCAAGGTAACTGACAGGACAGTTGGACTATACTTTCTTACACTGTAATTCAATATCAATTAATTTGCTTCAAGTTTAAATGATCAGAACATTGGAAAGACATATTAAGAATCACATTAAATGTAATAATCCAAAGAAAAAATGTACTTAAAAATACAAATTCTGTGAAATGTTTTCTTTCAGTCAAAAACTGATAGGACAAATGTGGTATTTTTTCTGCCATGTATAGCAAGGAGCATAGCCTATCCAATCCTTCTATCCTTTAATAGATATCAGGTACTTTATATGATGGCTAAGAAAACGTAAATTTAAATGTCTGACAATAGAAACCAAGCGTCAAATTTTAGTAGAAGTTCACAAGTATGGAAATTTATAAGAGGTTTGGTATTGCCCTATAACAACCCTCTCTGTGTTTAAAAAAATAGGAGGTAAAATCAAGAAGGTCTGCTGTGGATGTCAATTGGACAGGAACCAAATTTAACACAAGAACATCAAGCTAGCATTATTTCAATGGGACATGTACCATTTCAATTACTTCTTAGAATTTTCGTCAATATCTCTCATTTTTCGATATCACGGTTTATTTGAATTAAGAATTTGTCTATCTGACATTTTTGATGCTATCAGCTGAAGCTTATTGATTGGTAGATTTATTTACATTGATTCCTGTCGAATATATTATATATATGCTCTGGCAAACTCCTAAAATCAGAGCTTTTGATGTGTTTCATTGCAAATTGCTAAGTAAAAAGTGTTTACAAATTACTTGAATTATTTTTCATGTATTTTTCAGGAAGAGGAAGGAAATATTGAGTACAAAGTAAGTGTTTTCATTTGGATGTAAAAAAATGAATAGAGTTGCTTTTATTTCATTTTATGTTCATCATTTTTCCATGTGTTCACAGTGAATGGAATTGTTGATTTAACAATTCTTTGAGATGTTTTTGAGTGTGTGTTCGTGTGTGTATGCAGTTTTTGCAAACATTAGTGTGAACATGTATTAAGTTCAGTGGATTTAGAACAATGAATTTGAGCATTGTGATAAAAATTCTAAATATTTAACAAATTTACCATACCCATGGAGAGCTGATTTTTCATTTCATGCTTATTGTGTGTCCATAAAAGTTAAATTGACGACAGGTCAAAGAAATGATCTTTGTTAGTTGGAGTATTTTCATGTGTGTATACATGTGTGAGTGAGACTGGAGAGAGAGAGAAAAAGAGACTGAGGAGGGAAGTGGAGGGGGGTGGGGTGCTAGTTTTAGTAGGAAAGAAATGATTAATTTTTCAAACTCTAAAGGGTAACAAAAATAATAAATTGCACCTTGATTTTCTCATTCACGTTGTTCAGCTTAAGCTGGTCAACCCATCTGAATTCCGCGTGGAGCATCTTGTAACTCAGATGAAGTGGCGGTTGGAGGAAGGTCATGGAGAGGCTATCTATGAAATTGGAGTGGAGGACAGTGGTTTTCTCGCAGGATTGTCGGATGAAGAGCTAGATGCATCCCTTTCAACTTTGCGCAAAATGGCTGATAGGTAGGAGTATGCTAATGCATTTTCTCTGTATTGCATATCGTCGGCAGAGAATTCTAACCGTCTAACTCCAAATTTTTTCGAATTGCTTTTTTCCTTAAAATAGATTGACATAACGAATGGCTAC